ATATAATATAGTAATTAGGAGTTTAATAGAGAATGAAATATTAAAATGCTAATTTAAAAATATAAAATAAAATGAGTTATTAAAAATAAAGAATTCACCATAAAAATATTTATTTTGTAATTAATTTATTTATATTTTATAAACAAAGCTCACAATTGTAATGCATATTTATGGATTTGTATAATTAAAATATTTAATGTACACCTACATTCATATATGTAAGTACCTTTTTAATTTTACATAATTATTCAATTCGAGAGTTTAAGGTGGAAACAGGCTATTTACAGAAATGAAATTTTAGAATTTAATTTCCTTATTCCTTATTATTTTGTACTTAACTTGTACCAAATTTTATTAATGAGTGCATTTATTATATGGTTTTAATAATTGTAGTACACCAGGCCAAATATAGTTGAACTTTTCATAGTTTATCCCTTAATATCAACATTGCACTATCACTCTAGATGACTATCAAAATGAAAATATAACATGAAATTAATTTATTCAGTAATGCAATTTTAATAGCTGAATAGAGTAATTTTGTGATTATTTTGCGTTTATAAAATTGTCCAGTATATTAATATGTACACATTTTACTCAATTAATAAGTACATACTAATTGCTTAATTTTGTAGTAACAAACACTATTACTGCATTTTCCATACTATAAATTAATAAATATATAATTAAAAAAAAATCGGATTTGATTGAATGAAATTTTTCTTTTTAAGATGAACAACCTATTTATTAAAAATATCACATTTATTTTAAATATTATTGACCTTCATAATAATATAAATTATTATATTGAAAAAAGAAAAATATATAATTCAAATTTTTTTTATTTAATTTTGACTGTTTATGTATGTATATGTCAAATTTATTTTAAATCAATAGTTATTATACTGATTCAATTTCAATATAATATTTTAAATTGATAATTGAGATGAGAATAGCAATCATACATATACAATACATACATGCATAATACTACACTGTAAAAAATCTGGTGTAAACTTTAAACAAAAAGCTTTCTTGTGGTTTAATTTTCAAACTTAACAGTTTAAAAATCTTACAATTACAAAGTCTTAAAACGAGTATATAAAAAAAAATGTAACGAAATCTCACATAACCAAACTGGTGTTATTTATATGTATGTTTTTGAGAATGTTATGAGTGTCGGTAACAAAGACTCTGTAAACATAAACATGAGTATTAATAATTTTAATAATAATTTTATTTTTAATTTGTATTACGTATTTCCTTACCACAATTTGGGATTGAATCTGAGACCTTTTGAATGAAAAGACAATACATTATGCACAGCGCCTCTGGTGTATACAAAAATAATAATTGAAAATTTAAACATAAAAATTTCGATTTGAAATTGGATTTTGAATAACAATAAAATAAGAATTTTATACTTTTAAAATTTAAAATTGAAGAATTTAAACTTTTCTTGTGGATTAATTATTTGAACTAAAAAGATTTTCAATATTCTATACAAAAGCAAAAATTAAACACGAATAAATTATCAAATATTAAACTTTGCATTTTTGCAGTGTAACAACATCTACCGTGCTATTTAAGTAGAATTGTAGAATATGAAACGAAAGACAAAACTATTTTAAATTTTTATAAAAAAAATATTTAATAAGTGGTACTCAAATAAGAATAGGCCTATATGATAGTATGATGTCGCGACATCTATTTCTGAATACTTAAATGCTGTATGATTCAAATTTAATATGAGTATTTCAATTATAAAATGTACATATGTATATAGATAGGAGTGTAATCAGAAATTAAATTTACAACAAAAATTATGTACTATAATATAGTATGTCACATTTATTGTAAAATAATTATTACGTCATCGTCATTTTATTTATCATCGAATTACGATGATTGAATATATTATGTAAGACGCTATTATACAATCTTTGTTTGTAAAAATATGTAGTGTTTGTATTTTTGAATTGTTTTCTTGTTTCAAGTTCATCTTACTTATAAAATTCTACATTATTTTCTATTATATGAACATGGTTGCAGACCATCTTGGGAATTTTATTTATTTCACTCTATAAAAATAATATTCCGTGTATAATAAAATAGAATATAAGTTAAAAGTAGTATAATAGTTAATATAATGAAAATAGTGTGGACGGATGTGGAAATTTTAATATAGAATTTAATACACTACATTTGATATTATGTGGAATCTAATTTTTACACTCTTTGTTAGGCATTTTAAAATTTCTTTTTTATTAAAAACTTAACCAAATAAACTTCAAATTTTATTATATGTTTTGACTTTTGCTTTTACATTTTTTTTTTCTTCTTCTTCTTAATATCATTTTTCCACTGAAATTTAAATAGATGAAAAGCTATTAAACTCATGGTGATGTTATACTATTATTATTGCACGAATAAGGCATTATTTATTAAAATGTAACCTAGTCACGAGAATATTTTTATATACCCGTGTAATATTTTCAATTTGAGATTAGCATATATGTATTTTAAAAATTCTTAAATATGTATAACAGTTTGACTGTGTAATTGCAAAAATTATCTGCAGTACAACATATTATGGATAATACATAAAGAAAACTTACGCCTGAATTTACTCAAACATTTCATATTGAAATGTCAAACAAATGAGTAACATTAACTTCAAAATTGGAATATTGCTGTCAGATATAACAATTTGTAAGCTAAACTATTTATAAACCCTTTATTATTAAAATTTTTGAAATGAGGAATTCATAATTTAATCATATGTGAATCATAATAAAAAATTGATTGAAACTAAGTTTAGGTTGCGCGGCTCCCTGAAGGGTACACTAAGGCCACCTAGGCCGTCTACTTCATTAAAACCAGCCTGAGTTTTTCAGAAACCGGTCAAATCCCTTGTATTTATATTCGCAAAATCCATAGCCGGCCGAAAAAGGTAGGACCCACGAAATTTCTGACAGGAACCCGCCAATGCCGGACACGAGCATAGAATCGTCCCAGCAGCTCCTACAAAGACTGTTTGCATGGCGAGCCTTCCTTCTGGGATGATCGCCAATCGGACCCCTATTAATCTATTATCGCAAATGATTTGTAGACGAAATTGCGATACGGGATTTTTTTTAAAATATTATATCATCTAAAATAATATTCTTAAAGCATTCCTTAGAACAAATTTTTTTTTGTACATTTAAACATTTTTATTGTTTTTTTTTACAATGAAAACAATAAGAAAAATAGTTGGAGAAAAAAATATGTAATAAAATAAAAGAGCATTTTACTAGCCAACAACGTTAGTGAACTGAATTACCAGTTTTTTGCTTTTTTGTTTTTTTTTCTACTTTTTCAGCTGTTTTATTTTCTTGTTAAAGAGTTATAGGAAATTCATTAGTTACTTACTTATACTTCGAATGACAAAAGAAATTTCAAGTTTATTGATGCATATAGAGTACACACACTACATATGCACATACATACTTTCCAGTTATATTTATACAGGTATATTAAAAATAATTATATATAATGGGGGACAGAGATAATTTTATTGTACATTATGAATTAAATTATCAGTTTATTATACGTACATATCTATTTCAATTGCAATACTATAATTATTATTTTATTTATTGCATAATAACTATAATGAAATAGAACAATTGATATTTTGTTATTATATTAAGTTTCCTTAAGTGTTATTGCATAATTCAGCAATTACAACTCAATAGCTGAATCATGTAATAATACCGCATTTTATGCTATTTTAAAGTCAGGGTATTCTACTGCATTTTAATATTTTTTATACGACACTATAATTATGGAAGTATTGTACAAATGATTTTTTTTGAGTAATCGGTACATAAAATTCAAAATTCATACTATTTGTGTATTTTCTATTAATTCAAAAATGTAATACAAAAAAGATTATTAAAAATCACATTTATTTTGAATAAAGCAGGTGAAAAATTAATATCGTAAACTGTATACATATGTTATGATGTTATTTTGATTTGTTATAGTATAATCCCGTCGAAGTATAATTGAAATAAATGCATCTACATTAAATATCCATACTAATTATTCTTTTCAGTAAAATGTATGATATCTTACAAATGAAAAGTGTAACTTTTAATTTATTAAATTTATACAAACATAAATATATATATATATATATATATATATATATGTATTTATAATAAATTAGTATTTTTGTAAAACAATAATACTTGAATCGAATTAAAAAGCAAGTGGTTCGTGATTGTTTACGTTTCTTTTTGTTTTTCGGTTCATTTTCATTTTTAATATTTTATGATAGTACACTATGGCGCTCGCATCGCATGCTCTCCTATTAATTCAATTTTTTCTTTTATTTTTTTGTATGATATTATTATTAAAAATTATTTTGGTGAAACTTATATGCACACACATATCTATAGCTATATAGGTATGCACATAAATTTTTTATTCAGTTCGCATCCACCCGTTCGTGATACGTCATACTACTATCATATATTTTTATTTGTTTCTTATGCTACTGTTATAACAATATGTTGTAAGTATAGGCATATAATATAATGCTGTTAAATATTTTCTATTTCTATATGATTACATTATGTATGTGTTAGTGCTGGTATGTCAACTAAATAACTGAATGACAACATTGTCTCCAAATATATCGTTGATATGTCTGCCTATAAATATTCCTTTATACATATTATATTTTTTTGTAAACTCACCATAATTGTACATACACACATACAAATTGTGTTGATGAAATGATCGTCTTTTTTTATTTTGTTTTTTTCTTTTCTAATTTTTTTTTCTTAGATTTTCTTTGTTTTTATTATTGTTGTTTGTTTTTTTTTTTGCTAGCTATTTGAATTTTTCTCTTCGATTTTAAATTTTCTTTAGTACTACACACAATACAATTTTTATATCTATTTTAGTTGTTTGAGTGTGGAATTTTATTAATAAAAAAAAAATTTTTTTTTTAGTTTCATTGTGGATTGCGATAGGAACGGTTGTATTTTGTTTTAATAACGGAAAATTAATAACTGTTATTTAAAACATTAAATACTAAAAGAATAGTAGAAAAATAAAAATAAAAACCAAATATATTTACGGTTAAAACGACGGGATAAAATTGGATTTATTAAGCCCGAACGAATTTTTTAAGGTTAATTTTGTTTTTTAAACCGTTATTTTGTGAACATTGAATTTTTATATTTGTGCATATAAAATTCATAAATTAAAAATAAAATTTTTTTGTTTTCAATGAATTTAAATTAAATTTTTTCTTTGTATAAGATTCACTTTTCAAAATTGAAATTTGAGTTAGTGAATAAATTAATTTTATAAGTTATTAATATACAAGAAAAAAAAATAAACTTGTTTTAAGTAGTAGAGTATTTTTTTTAAGTGAAAAAGAAAAACAAAAAGAAAAATATTTAAAATAACAATAGATTTATAAAAAAAAGAATAGAAAAAAGAAAAAAAAATAAATTAAAATTTTTTTTTTTAATAATCAACATTTAAAAAACAGGTATAAAAAAATTATCAGGTGGGATTTTTGTAATTTTGTTAAATATTTTTTGTTGCTTTTATTAATTTTTTATTAATTTTAATAATAAATTTTGCTATCGTTTTATTGATTAATCTTTTATTTTATGATGAATTAAAAATATTGAAAAACTGACCAATAAATTTCTACTATGAAAATTTAGAGAGTACTACATTTTATAGTACAACAAGCATAATTTTGGCGCCAAAACAAAGTTCTTTTAAATTTTGAGAATTTGCAATACATACATATCTACGTAATAAAATTATTACATAATTTGAGTTTGAAATAAAATTTTAGTTGAACTTGAATATGAAAATGTATAAAATAAAATTCAAAAAAAGCTATAATATTCTGCAATACAATTAAATGATGATTTACATAATATCTTTATTTTATAATTTAAAATTATTATTATCATAAAAATTATATTTATTTATTAAGTATGTATTATAAAAATTATAGGAATTTTTGTAATTTATCTATGATTAATGTGGATACATAATTTAATTATTATTTGAAGCTTATTATTAGGTCCGTAAACATATTTTGCCGAATAAATTTGCAATATTGCAAAATGTGAATTATTTATTATTTTTAAAATTATTAATTTTTTTTAATATATAAATGAAGACACGAGTGAATAAAGATTTCATTTGCAATTTTTGCAAAATTTGGTTTATGGCATAAATAGAAGTTTCATATGTTTATCTTTCATATCCAAAAACCCGTTTTTCAAAAAATGACTCGATTTAAGAGATAGCTTATCTTTAAAAAGTGTTTGAATTATTTTGCTTTGAAAGAAGTTTAATTTACTCAAAACTTGTGGAATTATAAAAACTGTATATGACACCTTCATTTACTCGTGTCTTCAAATATGCATACGTATTTGTGAATGTTACAAATAAAGTTTCTGGCAACATTGAAATCAAGTTTCTGACGACTACAAAATAATGTATATCAATCATTATCGTATAGGCTTTTGTTAATTATTATCTTCTTCAAAAGTAAAAATTATGTTCCGAATTTTAATACCAGTAGCTGTATATAAATTATTATCACTGTATTATATCACTTTATTCATACGTTATAATATGTACTTGTGTATGTATTTATTGGTTAAGTTTAGAGCTTAAACATAAAGTGTTAAAATGTTTTCAACAATATAAAATAAAAAAACAATGAAATAAAATCTATTACCTATTTGATCTTAGATGTTCTGTAGGTCATTTTAGCATTACTTTGTATATGTTCATAAGCATGTTAATTTTGTTAATATGTTGTGTCTTAAAAAATCTTGTTTTTATTCTTCAAAATGCTGATAGTCATATATACAAAAATTAATTAATTTTGAGCATTAAGCTATGTGAGATACAAATTTCTATGAGATTATTGAAGTGTCTATACAATATAGCTCTTAATTAAATACATGAAATTTTCTACTTTTTAATTATTTAGTAAATAAAACTAGAAATTTTTAAAAATTAGTGATTTAGTTTTAGTATTTGTTTCATATACAATGTTAGTCCGAATCCGGTTTTTATATCCATTTGTTGCCGAAAATACATTGTTTTATATGAAATTATTTAAAATCTATTTTGTTGCAATTACCGTGTGGCGGATTTAGGGCATTAATAATAAATAGACACATTTTTCTTTTAAATCATTCTTCATTTATTCTACTTTATTCTAAATCAGATTTTAAAAATAATTGATTAATTTTGACAAATACTTATTACGAAAACTATTTTGTACAATAAATGCCAATTTTTTTGTCATTATAATTGTTAGTAATCTTGTTATTTCAAATTTTACAACCTTATCCATTTAGTTTTTAATCAATCACTATAAAAGCCGTTCTTTACTTTCTTTGCTAAATTTGAAAAATATTATGTTAATAAATATGTGATTATAATTAATAATGCTGCATTTATATTTCATACTGCTTTTTCGATTATACTAAATCGTACAAATTTGTGTTACAAAAAAAAACCGTAATGAATAAACCACATACTTTACGAAATTTGTTAAAATTAATCAGCGTGTAAAATAATAAAAATAAGAAATCAGAACAGCGGTAAATTATAACACTAATTTTTGTTGTTACCTACATTTTCATCGCAGATAAAATTTAATCACGTTCATAGTTTGTTACTTTAAACTTTAATAATACGAGAATTATGGATCTCTTTTATGTTTCCTCATCGGAAATAATTTTTGGTTAACTGAAAATATATGTGGATATATTACACTTAAAATTTCAATTCATAAAATTAATTACATGCATACATGTACATACATATATATAAGTCTATTTTGTAAATCGAAATTTTGTATTCGAAATGTAATAATTGTCCAGTGTAGGTTACGAAATAACCGTATCAAATGTTTACGTTAAATGTCATGTGAACAATCATACAAGTATCGCGCATATCTCGTATTTATAAAAGTTTTGAGAGCACTGGTCTTTTCTCTTTAAGAATTTTCTATTTTTTTAATAGCGTTTACGACCGAGATGAAAAATTTATGATCAAATTTATATCAGAAATTAAAAAAAAAAACAATAAACGAGATTTGTTTTTTAATAACAGCAAGAAAAATATGTTTTAACAATTATGAATGAAAAAACCATAATATTATGCAGATATTATATTGGTACATACGTATATAAATTAAAAATGAAAGTAAACAAAAATTTAAAAAAATTATTAAAAAAAATCGAAATTAAAATAAACATTTGCTTAAAATACAAGAAAATATTTTCTTTCTTAAAATTATTTTATAATTTAATTATTATGTGGTGTGTGGTGCATATGTGGTAATTTTTATTTCGGGAAAATTATTTCAAATATTAGAAAATATTATTAGAATTTTATTAGAATTTTAAATCAAATTATGTATCTTACGCCCATACATCTGATGTTCGAAAGAATACGTCAGTTTTATAAAAACATTTGCACATGTACAAAATTGAATATTGCATATTTTCAGGAGTTTGGTGTAAATATTTTAGTGTCAAAATTAATAATAATTATTAAAAATGTCAATAACTTTTGAATATTTTTAAAATTCTTATCAGTTTTTTAAAATTCAAAATATAAATTTTGAATGTATATCAAAAGATTCGTAGAGTGGCAACTTAGCAACCAACTGATTTACATTTGACAGAATATTTTTTAAGCCTAATTACTAAAACTGTATTAAAAATTGTCCGACACTGTAACTGATTGGTTTCTCGAATATACTAGTAAAGACTAATTATAGGATTATTCGGAAACACTGGATTTAAAAATTCATAGTATAAAATTCGGATTTTTCAGAAATAGAGTAAATATAGAACTTTTGCACTTAGAATATCAAGGACTTGAAAAAAAAAATTAAGTATGTAGGTGATATTGTTCTTAAAATCAAAAGAGAAAATATTCTAAATGCTCTCTCCTGTAGAGTGATGTTGTACTACTAAAAATAAAAAAAATATTACAATTTTAAAATAAAGGAGATTTATAACTTGTTTTTATTAGAACTATAAATTTATATACATATATATATGTATTATATAAAATAAATAAAATTTGAACAAAAACACGGCTTTTTTTTATTTTATAATTTCATTTTTTATAATATTTTTAAAATTCTCCTTTGTCATGTGTTACAGGTGTTTTCAAATTTTATTTCCAATTAGTTATATTGTAAATTTTTTTGTAATGTCTAGGCCAGTGTATGTGAACATATACGTATAAATTATTTATATACATACGTGTACATATTTAAACTATTTTTAAATTTATTATTTAATCTTCTTTGATTTGATTTTTATTCTAGTATAAATATTTTAAATTATAAATGAATTATTCTTTATAAAATGTTCACATTGTATACATAAATTTTTGGGAGTCAATATGAGAATTTATATGAGAATAAAAGATTCTACATCATATAAAAGAGTTCATTGTAGTATTGTCTTATTTGTTCTTCGTTAATTCTGTCTTCTGGGTCCTTCTAATTGTCTTTAACTGGCTTTTCATTAGTTTGTTCTGTTGGTCTTTAATTAATTTAATTATTAACGCAAGTATATCGAAAAATAATCTGTTTTATTTAATTTAACCCTTTATGTGATATCTAACGAACTTAACGAAGCCAATATTAATATTATAGATATTTTAAATTGAATCTTATTTAAATTTCTTATGAAATTCCTTTAAATATCACAAATTTGTTTTGAAAAATTAAAATTTTTGTTTTCTCATGTTTATTTCTATTTAAAGTTTTACGTGCATTCCGGTCCGATCTTCCGTTAATGTATGTATTATCCTTATTATAAAAATAATCGTAGCAGGTTTGAAACAAAAAAGTTACGCAAATTCAAATTTTGCGTGAAATATGGGACATCCTTCATATTACATACGTATACATAATTGCTTTGATATTTCTAAAATAGTCAAAAATTTTAAAATTATGCCTTTTAAATGTTCTATACAGAAAAATTTACATTATGAGTATTACTTCACAAATTACATGTGTACTTGTAATAGAAATTAGATCAATTTTGGAAAATTTATTGAAAATATTAATGAGCTGTGCATGTCAATCTATTTTACGAGAATAATTATGTATGTACGTGATTTTATTCCTAAGTACACATGATATATAAGAGCTCATAAAATATTATTTCAAAATTAGTTTGCAATTGTTTATGTTTAGTTTATTCATTTTAAATTTAGTAAGTATTCATTATATAATTGATATTTTTCCCATTTAAGTGTAGTCATAAATCCGTGTATAATATCAGGCAAGTAAAGCTTTTAAGTTCTTTTACATAATACTATTAACCTAGTTTTTTTATTATTAGCATAAATTGTATTAAGCTTGAAGATCTTTACGAGTGCTCTACAATTTAGAATGTATACAAAAAAAAAACACAAAATCAAGAGAATTGTTGTAAAACTTCAAATAAAAAAAAAAACTTAAAAGTTGAAATTAAATTTTTTTTGCTGCTTAAA